CTATAAATAATCAATTTAGATTTCGAACACATAATTGTGATTGATGAACGCAAGAGAGAGCGATTAGCTTATTTTTTTTTGTGCTCATGCAGAACGCAAGAAAATGCCGAGATTGAAAGAGTTAATGTAAACACATATTATGTTCGATTTATTTTCTACATGATTGTGATTATAGAATGTATATATATTTATCTTTTCTGCAACACCATAGCTTACTTACATTGATGAAAAAAGGCGGAGAAAACATAAAAAAATTAGAAAATGAAAGAAATAAGATGATATCATTGGTGAGTGACGAATAACTTCTCGAAGAGAGAACAAAAGAGAAAGAAGATTAAAAAAAAAGAAGCCGTTCGTAACAGCATATTTTCTTGTTTTAGATACAATCTTTTTCTCGAAGGTGTCGTATAAGCGAATTGTGAATATGTCTCATTGCTCTCACCTGTTACTAATTGGAATAGTATCTGCAGTAGTATGTTCTGTTGGATCAGATAATGGATCAGGAGCATATCCAGTCCTTCCAGATTGAATATCTTCATCACCTAACTTCTGTTCTAATGTTGACATAATACATTCTGGTACATCGTCTTCAGGTAATTGAGCAATATTTTCGAGATTTATGTTGACGTTTTGATAAAGTACATTGTATTTTTTCAGCCAGTATAATGCTTGAATAATTTTCTTCTTGCGCACTGTTAGGACTTTTTTAAGATGAATACGATCGAGAGGTCGAGCTCCAATGAATATCACTTTAAGTGTATCACATAGCTTCGAGTGTAAGTGGTAAACAATTGACGATATTTGGCACATTTTGAAGAAAAGTAATGCAGTTGCCTTTCAACGCTGTCTGAGCAGTTGTAGTCGAATAGAAAGGTGAAAGAAGTTTTATTATACAGCTATTATGACGATAAAGTGATATTAACTTTTCTTCTGGAATTGTCAATTCCTGTAATTCAGCAGGTATATCACCTAACCACATATTATTGGCAGCTGAAAACTTAGGAATAGATTCCTTGTAAAGAGCGCCGTGACATTTTTGACAAAGTATACACATGTCCACTTTATTTTGTTGAAATAAACCACTTTTGTATAAGATAACATTGTTTTCACAGTAAAACGACGGCGAATCAAAAGTTGAAGGACCTAAAATAAATATAAAGAGTTTGTATGAATTTTTGAATTACAAAGATCATATATTACTTTTAGCATGTTCAGTTATCTTTATATTGTTGTTGTTGATGGAGATTTCGGCGTCTCTTCTTGAATGTTGTAATGATGGTGATTG